CACGAAATACAAAGTAAACAAAGACGTGCTGCGAAATATGGAAATGAATTAAGTTAATGTTCACTCCGTTAGGCCGAAGCGTCCCCAGCATATTATTAATTAATTAATTAATTATTAATTTCATTTCATGAACTCGTCTGCATTTGCAATCTCTCGCCCTCTCATTTAGCTAAAGAATGTAATTACCAAAACACAGGAAGTATGACTCACGAAGTTTAGTAAACTTTTTTTAGGACTCAAACATGACGAGCAGCCTTTTCTAATACTATTTGAACTGAATCATATTTGCATGATGGTCAATTGGGAGAAATTGGTCCGCATGCATGAGGAGGCTTGAAGCTGAAGTCTGTCCGTCAGGGCAGACGACCGGAGACGTGAGAGCGCGAGAAATGATTGCTATAAAACATCTGTGAACAAAACATTAAAAAAACTCTGAAAAGAAGATTGCAGAATTTCAGTTTTTCCAAGAAACCCAGCATAATGAAAAAAACGTTCGGAAAACATCATTTTCAAAACATGTTTAACCTCTGCAGGAAAAATAATTTATTTGAATTTTTCGTTTTGGATGATATTTGCACCTTTCGCTGTTGACGGGTAATTCAAGAATTCAAAGAATATATTAGCAAATATACAAGCGTAAAACTAGTCACATTTATTGCGTCCATTAAGCCAATAGGCCATTTTACAGTTGCCTGCTCAGTGACCTGGCCTTTGAATGGCAGCGAGGCTGGAGGTGACCTTGTTTTGATACAGACCTCACTGCTTTTGTTGTGTAAATCAAGTTGTTCTAATGCTAAGTAGTTTGCATTTAAATGAGAAAAGCAGTGAGGTCTGCGTCAAAGCAAGGTCAACTCCAGCCTCGGTTACATTAATAGGCCAGGTAACTAAGCACACAACTGTAGATGGCCTATTGCAACAAAGACAACATCGCGTATAAGTTGTTAATTTAGCAATCAGGAAACATTCAGGAAGAATTTTACTAAGCTACATTAAATTTCTATCTGTTGGCTAAAGTAAAATTAATTAAAGCAGATGTTCACTCATGTTATTCCATTGCATAAATTTTGAGGATATAGACAGCAAATACTGGATGACTGAGCAAATTAAACGAACACCTGTTTGTCAGCTTGAAAGAAAAGAATGGAAAGTTATCAGTCATTGTGAACAAGACCCTTTTTACGTTGTCCGCGGTATAAACAGCAGCTTGTATTCAGTGTTTTAAAAAGGCGGAAAATGAAAGAAAAACCAAGTCTGGCAAAGTAGTTTTGCAAGGAATTGAATTGTTCATTTGAATAAGCTTTTGTGTATTTATTGTCGATTTAACAGAAACGCTCCATTCAGTACAAGGGTAAATAAATTTAATACAGAGGTTTTGATCTTCAATTTCTCTGCAGAGGAGCTTTATTCCAAACAAGTAAGGTATTTCCTATATGNGAGGCTGGAGGTGACCTTGTTTTGATACAGACCTCACTGCTTTTGTTGTGTAAATCAAGTTGTACTAATGCTAACCAGGTGGATTTACATGACACAAGCAGAGAGGTCTGTATCAAAGCAAGGTCACATTCCTCTGTGAAGGCGTGATATGTTTATAAATCGTTAGAAGGCGAAAACTCGCACTCGTTTTTCGAGAGAATCTCGTCTCTTTAAATGAATTAGTAGGGTATGCAGATTTGACGGTTTTCCATGAAATTTGGTCAGAACATTTACTGATAGATACGGAACAAAAGCGTGTCGGCGAATTCCTTTATTTTGAATATTTTCCTCGTGGCGGCGTTTAACGCAACAGGTTACGCGAATCTTTCGATAGTCGAACTTGACAGATCTATAAAAAGATAACCAATAGAAATAAAAGAAAATGTTGACACGTGTTTGGAGATTGAGGTTTTGTGGTAAATACTGCACAGTGATTTTGCATGAACGATCGCATTTGATACCCGATTAATTCACTGGAACGTCAGTCTCTCATTTTGGAGTTGACGGCCTCTGCCGCCTTTGGAAAGCAAAATACAAAACAAAACATAATTTTATCGAATTCTACATTTTATAACCTTCCTGTTGATATATAGTTTGTGGCGGTTTCCTTGAAAACAGCGCGCGTACGAATTTTTTTCTGGCGGACACCCGCGAAGGTTTGAAGTAACCTTAAGGTGTTACGAATTGTTAAACAGCTCGAGAAAACTCAGTCGTAGTTTATGGATCATATATTTGCCTCCCCCCACTCCCCTTTCCCGCCCCCTTCCCTCCGAAGCCCGAGACACGCACAGGCGGAGCGAGACTCCAAACTCTAAGCGATAACTCCCCGCTTATAGTTTGGGCAAAATATCGTGCTCATCATAACTGATAACTTTCGTGGTTGACCAGCTGTTAACCAGTTGAAAGTTATTGCCATTTCCTGTCGATTTCTTTAGACACAAGATCTGACTATAAATTCTAAGTGTATCATCATTTCGAGTCTTTCAACATCTCAATGAAATCGTTTTCATTTAAAACCCGAGCATTATTAACCAGATTGTCCGGATAACAATAGCCAGAGTTTGATATGACTGTGTCTGAAATCCTTACCAAAAGTTTCTTACTCTAGCGTTCTTCAAATTTGTACTTTACAAAGCTGGACCTGATCTTTGAAATATTTATCTTAACTCGCACCTTGGAAGCGATCTTTGATCGTAATGAACTAAATACATTCCAATTTTGATTTCTACAATTGTGCGCATTTCGACACTAATAATCGTCTGTTATAAGAACATAAATATGATTTCCAAGAATTTTGTGAATCAAAACAGTTATTTTGTTATGGGTATATTGAAGAACCCAAATTCCTCACGGAACGTACATACCGAAGCTTACATTA